AATGGTTACCTCATGCTTTCAATCAAATCCGATGCGGGCATCGGAGCCCTCACGGAACAAGGGGCCTTTGACAAAGGTAGCAGGGGCGTCCGGTCCTTCATAGATCTGAGATGGTTGCTCAAACACTGAAGAACAAAATAGAATAGTCATTTTCTGATACATGCATAATTTCAGAGAGGTAAATAATTGACTTACACGCGTTGACATGTCCTGATAAGGGCTGGCTCGAGGGCTGACAGGCGTTAGATGAGGGGGTTGGGGCAGACATTTCTGGGTCAAACATAAAAAAACAGAAGGTCAGTGGAGTTTGAGCTTGACAACAATTAGATCAAATGAGAATACGAAAAGAACTGACTATTTTTTGGCTGGAAAGGATTTTAGACTGATCAGGAAGAAAAACATAGGGGAATAAACATGTCAGACACGAGTTCAGACTAATCAAGAGGAGAGAAAGTGAGAGGCTGACTAGACTAAATGTAAAGATTTGGTGAGGAGTTGGGAGTTTGGAAGCAGATTGAATATATCTTAGAATGACCGTTGTGCAAAGTGGCTTGATTTGAAAACGAGACTGAGAGCAAGGGGTCCTTTTATAGTTTTACAAACTGGTGTAGAGATCTCTAGCAATCCCCATATAAAGGCTTAAAACCTGTCGTGGTTGATTTGATGAATTGGTTCCGACCGAGTTGAGAGCAAGTGTTTGAAATGAAAACGGTTGAAAATCGAAGTGGCAGAATCGAGGGTTAGAAGTTTCGAAGGTTAGATGGAAGCCGACTGAACAACTTGAAAGAAAAAGCAACGATTTGAGTTTGATTGAGTTTGGAAAGGAAATGTAATGAGCTTCATTGATTTTGAATAACGCAATGATTTGGTGGCTTGGATGGAATCGATGGTAGAATTTTCTTGCTTGGCTATGATGGAATCAATGGTATATTCGATTTGTTTGGTTATGGTGGAATTGAGGGTATAAAATTGTGCTCTCGAAATTGACGTGTAGGTTGATGTGATTGGAATCGTTGGTTGGAATTGGTGGTATTGCTTTCAAAGTCAACCATAAATTGACGAAGATTGAGCAGTTAGCTAGACCTCGAGGTCTGATAGGTATGAATAAACTGAACTCATACCTTTTGCGATGATATCAAAACGTTCCTTGTGTGATACGAGATAAATAAGGTATTTAGCCGTATTTACCCAAACAAACCTTCAAATCATGCTGAGACCGACTGGAGGTGACGCTTGATATTGTTTTTGTGTGAACGTCGGATGTAGCACCGGTTGCTGACTGGAGGTGGAGGCAGGTGGAGGTTGAACTGGAGTTGAAAGAGGGAGGTGATTGAATCAAGGTAGGAGAATCGTGTGGAAGGAAATTGGGTTGACATTCAGTCCGACCCTGAAGTGGTTAGGTAAGGATCGGGGCCTGTCATCCCATGGCGTGCCGGAACCGGTTTCTTTTTAGAAACCGTCAGTCATGAGCCAAGACAGAGATTGTAAGACAAGGTTAGACATAATCAATTACAAGGTGTCAAGTCGAGATACTTATAATTTCGAGTTTTGGACATGAGGGTAAAATCCGTGTGCAACACAATGAGGGGAAAAACTGCCATGAATTTCGTTAGTAGCTGTAAGTCTATGGAGCCATTGTGTGTACAACGAGTAAGAGTACTTGCAAAAAGGAGCGCAGATGAGCGCAGATGGGTTTACCCTTGAGTGTAGTTATGTTGAGAATTTGGAGTGAAAAGGTATCATCTGAGATGAGGGTATTGTTTACAACAGATGAATCTGTGTCCTGCTGCCAGATTTATCTGCTGTAGTCACAGCAGACTAAGCACATGATTCTTATCCGCGGTCAGATATGGCCAGATTCGGCCAGATGAGCTCGACTATGGCTGATATTGGTTTTCCTTGCACTGTGACAGGATAACAAGGTGGTGGTATTGTGTAGGGACTTTGATGGTCTTTATGGCATTGATCTTGGTGTTCAGGACATGCCTAATCACTCATGAAGTGAGGGTTCAACAGTTGTACTTTTGAAAAACTTGATGAGTTGATTCAAAAAAATTTCTCAGATGACTCTGTCGAGTCTGGTCTCATCTGCCAGTGGGTTTTCGGCCACAAGCCGATGATAAGGTACTACATTATCTTCGGGTCGAGGCCGAACTTTCTGTGTGCCACAGGTGAGTTAATTGTTTCATGTGTGTGTTAGACAGAAGAAACATAATCTAAAAAACAAACAATAGCAATAATCATAATCCAGGCCAGGGTTGGACTAACAAAAGACCCCAACCAGGCCAGGTATGCAAAAAGGGCTACCTTGTTAAAAACTAAGGAAGTAAAAACCTGACCAGACCTGGCTCAAAAAATAAGGGTCCATATGACATCATAACTTCTTAAGCAATTAAGTATACTAGCATATGAGCGGCGGGCGCCGCTATTTAGATGTCAAGTTTAGTGATAGCTTCCTCTGATTGTGATATCCCTTAAAGTGATTGCACAAACAGCTTGCATATGGATATATTTGTGGTTTATGTAATCATGTTTAAGTCAACAAAAACCCATGAGTACTTGATCCAATTATTCAAGTTTTCAAAAATAGAAAACATTTTTGATTATAATTTGTTTGAGATGAAGTCAACATCAATCCTTACTTTCTCCATGCAGGTGATTTGAGTTGTACATGATATTTGAACCTTATTGATCACTTTTCAATGGAATGCTTGGTAGATGAACCTCACTTGTACCTTTCAAAAATTGGTTCTGCAAAAATAAGACTTATCCAATGAAGTCATCAAGAAATACAATTCCTCATGCAATTTTCAGATCACTTGAAACTAAATGTACCACCAAACCTGAAGCTTTTTATTTTCTCACTTTTTTGATTCACAAACCTATCCAGTTTTAATCACTTGAATCTGGTTGGAAATCATCTAAAATTCTTTCAGAACTCTTGCAGTATAAATATAACTTGTTGGACTGCATGAACCACCACAGATCATTGAAGGGCTTGAAGAGGATTATTTCAAGATACAACTATCAACTTATAATCAATGTGTCCTGTCTGATCATACAATAACAATGAGTGCATTCCAAATCTCTTTGAGAAAACATTTTTTGATGAAAACACGAGTCAAATAGTGATAAAGGAGAAATTACATGGAAGAAAGTTGAAGTTACATCTTCGTTTGATTAGTTCATGTTTTTCTTTGTTTGTATACATTTGGTGTAAGGCCATGCAAGTTGTTAGATTAGATTGTTAAATAGCTGGAATATTGTAGTCCTTGTTTAAAACTTCAAAGGTTGATGTAGTTGTTTTCCTTATCCTTATTGCTCTGGGTTTCTGGTGTTTCTTATTATTGGTACATTCTTGCTTTGCCTTCTTGATTTCAAGCTTTGTATCTTTCATGGTATGATGCAGAGCTTTCTGTTAGATGTTGATTAGACATTGGAGTGTAGACTTGTACCAGACAAATAGCATGCTCAAGGCCAAAGCCTTTCAGAAGAAGAGATGACCAGTAACATAAAAAAGTCAGCAATTAAGTTTACAAATCCTGATTCTCAAATCACTCAATCACTAAGCATCCAATTGTTTGGTAGTTCATTGTACTGGACATTGTAATACTCTGTACTCAAGAAACAAATGCAGGAGTTGTGGTTTTCAATCAGTCAAAGATATTTGAGCTGAACAGTGTTGATTAAGAGCAACTTACCATAGTCAGCACTCCTTATAAAACCACTGTATACGCTCAAAAGCAGAAGCACCATCATTAGTATTGACTTTATGCGCAATGTCAGGTTGCATACTACCACTTCACTGGAATCAAAGAAATGATTAAGAGTCCTTTTGGGTATGAGATCATTACCTGTGACCCAATACTGATAGTAATGTTCTGAAGCCGAGGTCTCTCTCTCTCTCTGAGCAATCTTGAGAATAAATCAATGGTATGTATGATTGGATAGATAACTTGATCAATGTTGTGAATCATGCAGGTTGAGATTGTGTTGAACAATATGGTCGATTTCTATCAAAAAAATTCCCAGCTTGCTCAATCTGTCTATAATTTGCAAGATTTATTAAATGAAAGTTGTCAGTATTCAAATAAGATTGCGTTGAAAGTTGAACAGCAGTTTGAAAGCTATCCAACACCATATCCCACATCTTTGGAGTCTGTGTCGCCAAAGTGAACTTACAAGCTCATTCATCTCTTGTTACAAGGTTTTCTCCATCAAGTTTGTTGCCTTTTTCATCTCATCTACCTTGCACTGATTAGAAATTGTGGTCAAATCCTCTTGAAGTTGAGATGTTGCATCAGAATATTTCCGATCTGTGCCCTTCAATACCAAAGTTATAGCAATTTACTGTACTGGTGATCAGTCCAAAATCCGCTCTCAAGAGAAAGGCCATAAAACTATTCACACAACTCACATTGTGCAGCAGACTCAAGTTCTTTGATATCCTTATCATTATGCTCTTTCACGACTTCCCCAAAATCTTGGCAACTGTTGATATGATCTCTTTTCAAAGAATTGAGTAGATCTGATTCAAATTTCTTGATGATCGATTTTGTCAAGTTTTTTGTCTGTGCCCAGAAGATTGGTCCCAAAGCTGTATTTGTTTTTTCCACAAGCTCTGTCCGTTTTTGCTGATAGACGCTCGATGATAAGATGAAGCGGCCAAATCAAAAAGAAGCTATGCACTTGTGAATTAGTCTTGACTGTATTGAAGATCTGTGCAGGAACACTTACCTAACGATTTAGAATGTGCATGCTCGATCTTACTGCCCACTTCAGCCAAAAAGGAACTGAATTTCATTTCTGATATCATAGGAGTCAGTAAGTCTGAGAATTTGAACGATATAACAGCGATCTCATCACATCTGAACTGAGCTAAAAGCTCTTGTTGTGTGGGAAGGGCAAGATCTTTATCGGATTGCCTCTGAAGGTCTTTGAACCCCTTGTTGAAGTTGTCAGGCTGAAGGATCTTGTGGGCCAGGGTGGTGAACATAAGATCAAAGTAACCTATAATCCGGGAGTTTTTGGTACCTTCTGGCTGAGAATCGAGCAAAAAGATGTGTACAAGGTGGATGAGTCCGAATGCTCGATCCGAAGAGCTCTGGGACCAGTACATCTGCCAATCCGTCCCAGATTCGATTCAAATCGCCTGTGATTGTTTTCTCCAGGTATGAGAGAGGTGTGACCCCAAAGGGGTCACGGATGACAAAGATTAGATTGGTTTTGTCGTGATCAGAGCTGAGATGCCAGGCATAAAATCAATCGCGTAAGCTATATGTGTAGGTTTTTGAAAAGAAGAATATTAACTTAGAAGGGGGATTTTGCTTTTGTTTTGCTTTGTTTGCTTGGAACAATGCTAGGTCGACCTCAAAGACTGTCTTGAGTAACCTCATGTTAGCGCCTTGGTAAATCCCTACTTCATGCTCTCATAAATTGACGATGATGACTTAAAAGGAAGCCAAAGAAAACAATGCCGCCTTTTGCTCAAAGTACTGATCATAACAAGCTTTGTTCAATATCTCGGTTCTGATGAGACTCCGAATAACCAAAATCTAGGCAAGGTCATTGCTTTTGTGGTTCTCCCCCCTCTCTTATCCATCAGCATCTTCTACATCCATGAACAAGACATGATCATCTCCTCGCCTTTACACATTCAGAAACCTTAAAGAATCACGGCAAAGATACGATCGAGCAGAATGCAGGTTGATGAGCATCGCATTGGATCGATCGAAGGTACAGGTCTATGGCAAACCTTTGGTGGTTTGACGCCAACCAGCCTCATCCATGACCTCGAATGTAGTACCAAACACATGGTTCAAAAGGTTACCTTTCCAGTCAAGAAATATCAGATCTCATTTTCAAAATGAGATGGGTTAATAAGAAGGGTATATGAGGAAGACTCACTCTTTCCACTCGATTTTGATCCGAATACTGCGGCTAAGTCGTAGTTGAAACCCTTTTTGAGTAAACCCCAATTTTTGATCGAGCTCGACAAGTCAGTCCTAATGATCAAGAAATGTGGCAAATCAGATCATGTCAACCATAGAATATAGGAAGATGAGATCCAATATTCAAATGCCAACGTGAATGTTTGTTCTTCACCAATTACTTGTAGGTGTTCTGTCATATGGTTTTGTATTCCATTTTGAGCCATTTTGCAAGAGGAAGATCGGTGAATATGAATCCTGGGTAATGGATTTTTTGAGAGTTTGCCGAGTTTCCAATGAGATCTGTGCCTTGTGTATCATGTAGACAGAGGTGAGTCTTGACGTGGTGATGGTGGTATTAAAGTCAGAGATCCGGATATTCTGGTTTACCCTGGGTGACTGCTTTAGAGGAGTGTGATTTCAAGACAGAGCTTGTCGGACCAATTACGCGTTGATATACACGCTTGTGTATGAAGTCCTTGCCCTCACGGATTGATGGATCCGGCAATGTCAAGCTTGATTGGCCGTGTGTCCTGAATATGACAGTGTCAGCATGATAAGTTGAAAACTTGAGTATGCTACGATGGCGGATTTACATGGACACCATTTGTCAAGCCTGTTGGCTAGTTCTTTGAAATGGGAGCGATGAAGATGATGGCTTGGAAATGTGAGCAAGTGAGCTGAATGTTGATGAGGGGTGAGGTGAGCTACCTCCTGGACGGATTGATTGAGATTGATTGATGTATGCCAATACCAAGCGTGATTGGCCTTATTCCCTACATGTGACAACATCAGCATGCTAAGTTGAAAGCTCGAGTATGGTAGGATGGTATCTATAGGATGGTAGATCAACATGCCTACCTTTTCTTAATCCACTCAGTTAGTTGTTTGACGTGTGAACAGTTGCGGAAGGCTGAAATGGAGTGTTTTATGAATGCATGTGTTGCCGACAGGTTTTGAACTCTGGTACAAAACTCGATTGGCTGACAAAATGGAGACTTTGGTGAATTTTGTCCAGTTTTGTTTTTGAACCGCTCCTGGGATTAATTGTTATGATGATTATGATAAAGAACCAAGATTCCCACCAAAAGAAAGGAATCATCCTATCATCATTTCAAAAACTAAAAATTCATTTTAAAAACAACTTCAAATCCTTAAAACTAAAAATCCATTTTAAAAAGAACTTCAAGTCCTTTTGTCTTTTGATTATTGATACTCTTTACTAGAGTCCCCAACTAAGAATTCACATCATCTATTATCTCTCCTCAAAAGCACTCTGTTATTTTTCTTTCTGAACTTCCAACTCTGAAAGTGTTAAACATTGTCTGGCCTAGCCATCTTGACTAAAGGTTTCACCCAAACTACCCTTTGGATTACCAATAATCAACAAGCACTGAAGGGCCACCTGAAGTATAGATTGCTATCTGTAGCCTTCACCTTGGAAGACATCTGAGAAATTCATCATCTTGCTCAGTACCTGGCAGCAGTAAACATCCTGCACCATAGGCATCTATAGATTTGTTTTGTTACTAAGAATCAAAAGCCTAGTCTTTGGGACAAACATCTAAAATCCCTAGAAGCCTACATTTAGTAAGTCTCATTCAACTTAAGCTTATTATACTGTTAAGACATAGCTTGACAAGGACAGAATTTGCATGAGGGTACACATTCATGAATGAGAACCAAGGCCATTTGAAAACACATAAAAAGGAATATTATCAGTGAGAAGAATTATTTATGTGTGAGAGGGAAGAATACGAAAAGGGAATCACCAAACAATGTTTAAGGAAACCTTTGAAATCCTTCTGAATGTAGATATCTTCTTGGGAGTCCAGAGCCAGAAACCCACCACAGAAAACAACCAATAAGAGGGAAAATTGTTTTCCACCTCAGCTCCAATGCACTTGGGAGGTATGTTGGCCTTGTCTGGCTCGGCCAAAATGCCTATGGATTTATCTCTCCTGAATAGAGCACTCATCTGCAAGTTTGGACTCAGTCAGATAGATCTTGAAAGCAATCACATGGAAAAAAACAAAAAAGGCAATCTTACCCAAGAAAACAAGCATGTTTGGGATCAAACCTCCTACTGCATTGAAGCACTCTGCTTAGGGTGTATGGTTTGAGATTTCTTGAGGGTTAAGTGGAGTTGATCCTTGAGATCACTGGATATTGTTTGTAGTGAAACCCAAGTCCCAGTGGGTTGATAAAATGTGTGGCAATATTTATCCAAGTAAAGAGCTGCATTACCGTCTAGTAACTTCAACATGAAATTCTTGTCCTCCTGTTTCAGCACTGTTTTTCTTCCAAGGGGCGTGTAATCTTTGAGGTTTCAAATGACCAAACAAGTTTGTCTGTATAGGGCGTAACATCAAGAGATGGATTGGGCACTAACAGGTGACCTCGACAGCCACCACACTTGTTCAATGTATTTCCCTGTTATTCCAACATCATATGGACCAGGACACTCTCATGTCTGGAAGCAGGAAGGGATCAAGTCAGCACTGTGCTCACCCAGAACATATAGGAGAAGAACCCAACTTGTGTTTCTAATGCAGTGTGATTCATTGGTTTGGACAACCTTATTTGATTTGACAGCAAAAAACCCTGGCAAGAGCTGAATGGGTTAGTGTCTAAACAGCAAGGATCCAGATCCAAAATGAGGCAAAAGAACTATGGGTTGAGCCAATACCGCAACCGCTCTGCTCAAAATTGCTGCTGCGGAGCGGTTCTTGGTACCGCTATGTCACCGCAATATATAGCAGTGGCTGCACTCCCCAATCCAGGAATTAAAATCCCATAGCGGTAATATTGTTCCACAGCGGGCCAGGATTGTGATTGCTCCGCTATATAGCGTGGCAAGACCCTGACTGTTCCTTTCCTTCTCAGAGTACCTGCATTTGCCAACCAAGAATGTCATCCGAGGACCTACCTGTCCACTCCCAGCATGTTATACAAAGAGGGACCCAAAGCCATATGGTGACAAAGTGATCTTAGACCCTTACTGGCATGTTGCTTGAACATCTTCAACTTGCAACACCAGAGTCCATTGTGTCAGTGCTTCCGCAAGTCCCAAAAGGTGTGGTGATCTATTTATGGGATCAATCAAGAAAATTAATCATTATAACTTTATCAAATTATCAGGAAACTTCAGTGTAGTAGAAAATTCGAAATGAAGGTTTTTAGATCAATTGAAGCTCTTAGAGGCTTATGTGTAGTTATTAACTCAATATTATGTCATCTTATTTCAAATATATTCTTAAGATCATTATATTTTACTTAGAAAGTTATCACAAAAAGACAGAAAAAGAAAAGATAAGGAAAATTTGAAAATATAGGTGTAAAAGTTGGAAAATGGTTTTTAGGGTATTAATAATTAAGTTATGGGTTTATTAGGGTTAGAATATGAAAGAACAACATTTTATTATACCGTAACAATTTTAATCTTGGAGGTTGATAAGGAAAGACAGAAGTTATTAGCAGAAAGGTACTTTTCGAGGATGGTAAACAAGGGTTATACATGTAGTTTACATACGTAATGGTGGTAGTAGTGGAAATTAAGGTTTCCAAGAGGATTTTCCGGGATTTTTAAGGCTGTAGAAGATGATCTCATATTACATGAGCAAGGAAAAGAGAGTAGCAGCTGTGAAAAGTGAAGAAAATGGGTGAATTTCGTTGAAAATGAAGGTTTTCAGCTGATTACATATGTCAAATGAGGTCGGATTAGGTTGGTAAATGGCTCATTCAACGCAGAAGGGTGTATTACATAATGTACAAACTTTAAACCATTAGTAATGGAGGTGTATGTAAAGGTTTATAAGGGAAATAAGAAATTGGTGTGAATCTCAAATTTACAGTCACAAGTCAACATGTAACACCAAAAACCTTAACTTCACAGCTCAATATCTTACTCATCGCTCATCAGAAATGGGTCATATGGGTGTCATAAATGATCAGTATCACGAGGGCTACGAGATGCACTATAGTAGTTCAAAATTGGACCCCATCTGAAAAAATTTGTAATCTCAAAAATTGGTTTGCAGCTAGTTTACAAGGAAAAAATCACCTGTATTCATCTTAAGAAGTGCTGTACATTAAATTGTTGCGTCATTGATCACTTTTGGCCGTGAAAATTACATCATACATTAGTAACAAGATCATTACATTGCGTCATTACATGATTTTTAGGGTTCTTTAGGCGGATTTGGCTGGTTTTTGAGGCTGTTGACTATTGTAGAGGTTTTTACATGTGGATATAAGTACTCCTTGATGATTTTGGGATTGTTGTTCCCTCTTCTGCATCTTATACCTCTGTTGTAGTGTTATAAATCATCATTTATTTACTATATTTGTACTAAGATCACTTAATTCCGCCCCTTCGAAGCAAGGAGAAATTTATTTACGTGTGTTGAAGACTATAAGTCAATTTGGGAATAATACTTAACAACAGTATTGCTAGTAATAACATAGTGTGTGGACTTTTTGCGCTTAAAATCTGGGAATAATACTACACAACAGTATTGCTTTATTTCTCCGGTGCCTTTATCTTTTTCTCTGTTATCACAAAGTGGTCAGCAAGTGCCCTTGTGCTGGTTTCTTTGAAGAAGGCAGTCTTTAGGCAACTTCTACTATATTACACATAGTAGATTATCCCTTCTTAGGTGTTGTAAAGCTCTTGTTGAGCTTTAAATACTACAACAGGACTTATTCCCGGATATCTGTAATTGATTTAACAACAGTGTCTGTGAGCCTACTAGTGTCTGTTAGGCTAGTAGAGTCAATGAAAATGTTGTAGAAGGTCTAATAACTTCTACTAAAGTTGTGTAGATCAAGATCTACAAGTATGAACGGGTAGAGACGTGGGCGTAAGAGCTTTACTTGCAATAGACAAGTAAAGACTACAGTTAGTTGACCTTTAAACAAAGGCGTTAGCCCAGGGATTTTGGGTTAATTATTGTCTTTACAATAATTAAAAATGAGAGCAACTGACGTGCAGTTCTCAATCCTAATTTGATCCTCTTCTTATTCAAAGAAAGGTCAAAGAAGGTGGTGTTAAAGTCTATTATAACACCGGGAACTTTACACTCTGACTAATAGAGATTTCCCCGTAGATTTAGAGTTCCTTATATCAGATGAATCCCAAATCTGATATAAGCAGTACCCAAGGACTACTTCTTTACAAGTAATTCCACCAAATGGATATTACAAGAACTACTGATTATGGAGTCTA